ACTAGTATTTGGGATTTGGGATTTGGGATTTCGGCAAAAAATACTAATCATAATTTGGAATTTGGGATTTGGAATTTCGGCATTTGGAATTTCAGCATTTGGGATTTTGGCATTTGGATTTTGAATTTGGGTGGCAGGTATAATGTAAGTAAATTTATAAATTTTTATTTTTTGTTTGTATATTTATTTTTTTAAAAAACCATGATGGAATATAAAAAAATATAAAGTAGTATAAGCAAATTTAAAATTTTTTATTTTTACCTTTTACTTATTTTTTTTTAAAAAACTTGTAGTTAACTGAAAAATTGCGAAGTCAACATAGCACAGCATGTTCACAAGTAAAAACTGCCATCTTCAAATTTTTACAAACAAGGGCTTACTTCCTATAAACAATACTACAAAAGTCATTGAGATTATCATGTAGAAAAAGAAGCCAGTTGTATTAAGGTGCTTTAAAAATTTATTTACAGAAATTAATGAAAATACAAAAGAATTTGAAACATATATGAAAAGAATCATAAAGGATGCATGGCCTAAAAAAAAAAAAATTTATCTGATCAATAAATTTTCTGAATGATATCAATAGCCGAAATCTTTCTCAACCTCAAGAATGAATATATAAAAATAACCGAAAAAACAATACTGCCAATTCTTGAAAAAAATAAAGTAAATTTTATATTTTGTCAAAGATTTTTAAAAAATTTCAAAAATTAACAAACTAATAAAATATATATAATATAGGAAAAATTAAAAATAAAGAAATTTTAAATATTCTTCTCAATCTTTTACTCTTGAATCTCCTGTTCCTGCTCTTGAAAGTTTTCCTGTTTTTGAAAGTTTTCCTGTTCTTGCTTCTGCTCCTGAAAATACTTCTACTCTTGTTTTCACTTCTAAAAATTCTTTTGTTCCTGCTTCAACTCCTGAAAGATTTTTTACTTCTGAAAGGTTTGAAAAATCTCGATTTCCATCTGAAAAGTTTCCAAAATTAGAAGATTTTCTGATCACCTCAAAATTACATAAAAAAATTAGTAAAAAAGGAATTAAGGTCAAAAATCTAAAAAGTAAAAATAAAAAAATAAAAATAAAAAAAAGAATGAAAATGAATATGAAGAAGATAACAAAAAAGAAGATGATAATGATGATGATGATAATGACAATAATACTAGCGAACAATAGAATAAATTTTATATATTTCAAAAATTTTTGTAAATATTAAAATTAATAAAATAATAATAATTATCGAAAATTTTATAACACACCAGTGGCGTTATGCACTATATCATGTAAAATAGATCTGTAACATAGTCACACAACAAGTCTGACATTGTAGAATGTGATTGGATCAATTATCATTGTAACCACATGCTTTTTATTTTGTTTAAAAAGTAAATACGTAGTGAAATAATCAACACGTCACACTTGAATTGCACCATGTATAACACAACAGCTCATTCTTCACTTTTCTATACCATCTCTTCCTCACATTCTCATGTTATCTCTTCTTCTCCAACTTCTTTTTTCTCTCTAGCTCCTGGTCTTCAGGAATATTATTATAAGGGAAATTAGAATGACTCTATTGAAGTGTCACTAGAAATGCGTGAAATACCAATAGAACCATTTGACCTTGAGAGTATTCATCTAACTGAAAATATAGAAGACAGTGAGCTTTTTGACAATGGGAATGGTTCACTTTACCTAGTGATACCAGAGATGTCTTTCGATAATTGAACAAATCTTGATAAGTACATAATATTCGAATACTCCCTTCAAGAATAGATTGTTGAAAAAGAACTAATTTTTTTTTTCGCTTGTTTTTTTCACTTTAAGTTGACTTAAAAATTACGGGTTGGAGCAAGGCTTTGCCTTTACAATTACCCATAGTGAAAAAGATAAAAATGACGGAATACCGCAATGACACATTTATGCATACACAAGAGAACAGAAATATACATCAAAAAAAGAGGAACTGTAATACGGGACATAATAGTGATGACTGCAAATTTCTTGTTAATATTTACCGCTGGAAGAGTGATGATCTAGTTTATATTACGAAGGTTGAAAATTAGCATAATCACAAACTTGTTGAAAATATTTCTTCTCTCGCATCCTGTTATCGAAGACTTACTCCAGAAATGCAAGATGATGTGTGATTACTTGTAGCATGTGGTGTACGCTCTGGTACAATTATTGAAATTTTGCAGTATAAATATTCAGGAAGGTATATTCATAACTATAACGTTTATAACTTAATTAATTCTATTTGTCGCGAACGAGGCCATGTCAAAAGCAATGCTGGTTCTATGTATCTTGATCTCATGAAACAATAGTAGGAAAATTCAAGTTTTCATGTTGATGCTCAGTTCAAAAGTCAAGATAATTATCTTATTAAACTCTGCTGGATGCGCTCGAGTCAACAAGAATTATGGACTCATTTTCACAACATCGTACTTCTCAACACAACTGCTAAAACAAACTGACATTTGATAATTTTAGTTGTTATTATTTTAGTAGACAATCGCAATTGTTCTCGTCTCGTAGTAACGGCCGTTCTTTCGGATGAAACAAAGGATAGCTTTGAATGGTTATTCCAAAGCCTTTTCAAGGTAATGGGTGAATTAATGTCACATTTACTCTACACAGATACAGACTTCACGATGATCGCCATGATAAATAGTTCTTGGCCAAGAATTAAATATCATTTTTGCTTATTCTATATTCAAAAGAATTTGAAGAAGCATTTCTTGAGCAAATATCGTGACGAAAAATGAAATAAATTTTTTGCGGCATTTTGTCGTGCACGCAATAGCCACGTAGAATCAATTTTTAAAGAGAGATAAATAGTATTATTAAATAAATATCCTAATGCCACCAGTTATCTTCAGCGTCAACTTTATAAATGTCAGGAGGCTTGGGTGCTGTGCTTTACACACTGTGCATTCAATACAGAAATACAAAGCACACAACGTATTGAGTCATATAATAGTATTATTAAGAATCATGTGAACGGAACTATATCTTTAATGGAACTCGAATCTGTAATCAAAAGGATATTATTGAGGAAAAGTCAGTTTCTTAATGTAAATGAAGTTATCAGCAAGCTTCCTGCAAGCCAAGATGAAGATTATCACAATTATTATTTTAAAAAAATTGATATTTGTTGTCAGCGTTATCTTACACCAGCAATACTTAAACTCCAACGTCACGAAATAAATCGCAGCATGCACTATTAGTGTCGGATGACTAATATAAATGAAGAACTTGGAAAGCAGATATAAGTTTCTTAATTTGCATGTGTTTTATGATCATTGTATTCTGATTTTTTTTAACTTTTTTTCCTTTTCCGCAGGCTATTTCAGATTCACCAAAGGGTATATTTTCAGAAGATATGTTTGATGCCTGTGTGATAGAACTCGATCAGCTAATTTCGGATCTGGATCTAACACGAATTAACGAACTTTGACATGTTTCATCTATTGATAAAAAAAGCAACCATTTTGTGATGCTTTATGACAACTATGCACACCTGCACAGGTCGAAATCCATATTTCAGGCATATATCAGGGACCAATTGGGTAGCTATCGGGGGGACCAATAGATATCCGATAGGTGCCCGATAGGTATCCGATAGGTGTAATATAAATATGTCA